AGGGAAAGAAAAAAAAAATAGTTCATCTGTGTTTTTCTGAAGTGTTCAACATGAAATTGTTGGTTAACTTGTGAAGAAAATGTTTTCAGTTTAGAGGTTCGTCCTGTATGATTTGGGTTTTTTGTTGGTTGGGGGTTTTTTGACATTCTGCCTGTTTGTTCTTTAAGTGATGTTTGCTAATCAAAAGCAGGATAATAATCCACAGTGTAGGTCACTTAAAGCATTAGAAAATGTTTCATTATTCTTAAAAATCAGAACACAAGAAAAAAGAGTAAAAACACCAAGGACACTAACTCTTGACTTTGTTGGTTTATGATTCTCAATATGTTCTAAAAGCACACTTTTTTTATTGTTGCTATACTTTAAACATATAATAAGCTTCTCAGATGACCACTGTCCCTTTAAAAAATTCTCAGTAGTTAAAATTAAGACTTTTAAAATCTGAGGGCCAGAAATTGAGAGGCAGAGAAAGGAAATATTTAGAATAAAATATGTATTAATTACATTAATTGCTTGCAGAGGGGAATAATGAAATTATGATAATGTGCTACTTGCTCGCTCCTAATATCATCTGTGTATGTTGCTGTAAGAAACATTGTTGGGGGCTGACCTGCTGGAGAGCAGTGTAGGGGAAAGGGACCTGGGGGTCCTGGTAGACAGCAGGATGACCATGAGCCAGCAGTGTGTCCTGGTAGCCAAGAAGGCCAATGGCATCCTGGGGTGCATTAGAAAGGGTGTGGTTAGTCGGTCAAGAGAGGTTCTCCTCCCCCTCTATTCTGCATTGGTGAGGCCACATCTGGAATATTGTGTCCAGCTCTGGGCCCCTCAGTTCAGGAAGGACAGGGAACTGCTGGAGAGAGTCCAGCGTAGGGCTACAAAGATGATTAGGGGAGTGGAGCATCTCCCTTATGAGGAAAGGCTGAGGGAGCTGGGTCGCTTTAGCCTGGAGAAAAGGAGACTGAGGGGTGACCTCATCAATGTTTACAAATATGTAAAGGGGGAGTGTCAGGAAGATGGAATTAAGCTTTTTTCAGTGATGACCTGTGATAGGACAAGGGGTAATGGGTGCAAATTGGAGCATAGGAGGTTCAAGGTGAATATCAGGAAAATTTTTTTTCCTGTGAGGGTGCCGGAGCACTGGAACAGGCTGCCCAGAGAGGTTGTGGAGTCTCCTTCACTGGAGTCATTCAAAACCCGCCTGGACACCTTCCTGTGTGATGTACTCTAGGTGATCCTGCTCTGGCAGGGGGGGTGGGCTAGATGATCTTTCGAGGTCCCTTCCAACCCCTATGATTCTATGATTCTATGATTGATAGTTGACGTTGGTTTCTGGTTCTTATTTTTGTAACTGTTGGACACTGCCTGTCCTTTGACAAGCAGCAACTTATGTGTATTTTAGTCACATGCTTGAAAGAACTAGCTTTAAAAAGTTTTGTTTTACTCAGTGAAACCCTTCCATCCTTGCATACTTGTGTACGTGCATATGTGATTTTACAGTATTTAACTCAGTCCTGCCACAACACTTCAATCCCTACTTCATCAGGCTTTCACATACTTTTCCATCTGAAGATAGGAATAAAAAGTGTTTCAATTGTGTCTCCCATATAATATATAATTTTTTTAAACCTACCAAAACAGAAAAGTAAAAACTTGTTCTTATGCTGATATTCATATATTTTTAGTGATCCACATTAAACACACACACAAACATACATACATCTATTTGGGAACCTTCTATCTAGAGTCTTTCTTGTTACGTCTCAAATGCTCTTGCACCAAAATTATATTCAGACAGACTAAGAGATTGACAGGTAACCAAGAGGAGCTTGGTTTAAGGAAGTGTTCCGTGGTTTCTGAACATGGGCTGTATCAATTTATGGCAAGCTTGAGAGAAGGATGGAAATAAGCTACGAGTCTGATGCTGCTACCTGGAAATATTTGGTGCTAATTTGTATGGTGATATTGGAAAGACTCTTGAACTTTTTTCAGAAATATAATAGATTTAAATATATCCTGGGCAAATCTGTAAGGATATTTGAAAGCAATGCTGCTGCTGTACCTGGAACAGCCTAGGTTCAGGAGGAGCTTTTGAGTGTCTTTCTACTGTGTGATTTTAACAGTTATTGGTCCAGAACAAAGCAGTGGGGAATCAGAACACTAAAGGGAAAGTGCAGGAAGACAGGGAGGAAAAATACTCAAGAGAGTGTTTGAAAGGGCTGTTGGACTAAACCAAAGAATGAGAAATAGGAGTATGAAGCTGCCTCAAGGAAATAAATTCTAGGGAGATGTAAATAGGCAGTTAGGGACTAAAGTAGTGTGCTGGTGGAAATAAAGGAGAAGGAGCTTTTGGGCTCCTTATTTTCCTCTGTCACACCTAGACATGGAAAGGCCTGCTTTACTCTGGGCTTCACACTGCTTACAGGTGAGCTGGGGACCATGTCTTTTCTCCACGTAAAAATCCTTTAATAATACTGCATGATTAATTCCTTCTGTAGGAGTTGAACAGGGGGTCGTCATTATAGCAGCATGAATTCTTTCTCCTTTTCTTAGTCTCCGTGTTTTTAAATATTTTATATTTCTGTTTTTTAAAAGACATCTGAGTTAAGATGAACTCTGTGTTCTAGAAAGACACAAATTACCACTAAACAACCTTAACTCTGCGTGAGACTTGTTTACCTCTGTGTATTTGGAGTTCCTACAAAGTAGTCAAGTGCTGTTTGGATTTAGATCAGCTAAGCATATGGGGCATCCTGGGAATTTTAGGGTGGCATTTTTTCGTCTGCATTTCCAAAAGCTATACTCCATGTTCCTCTGCATCATGGTTTTCCAGCATTTCCCCAGTTGAGAGCATTTGGGGTTTATACAGAAAGCAAAACTTCTACTTTTTGTGGAAAGGTAGGAAAGAAACAATCTCCTATAATAAAAAGTGGAAGACTATGTCAATATGTTGTGTCATTCTTCATCTTGTCTAGCTTAGTGTGTAAATAGCATTTTGGCCAGAGATGGGAAGGTTTCTGTCATATAGGGTTTTTTTGTGTGTTACTAAAGCTATTACAATAAAAATACTCAAAAAGCACTTGGTGTGCAGTCAAAACGGGTAGGCGAGAAATGGTATTCAATAAGAAAAAGCAAGAATTAGACTTTTTCTGGATTTGAGAGGCATCCTAGAAAGACTAATGGAAGTCTCCAGATTCCAAACTAATGTCAACTTCTTATATGATTCTACATTAAATTAGGTCTTTAAGCAGCCTTTTTAATAATAATCTTTATATCTCTTCTGAATTTATTATCACATTTCTCCAAGTCTTTTTAAAAGTATTTTAAGCATTTTCACTGTGTATAACTGTACTAGAGGAAATAAGTCATTGTCAGATGGTGATGGAATTTGGGTTGTGCTACCTGATGCTTTTGAGTGGGAGATTTTCCCATTGCAATTAAAAAATATATTAATGGGGGTTAGAGGATGAGGGTTCTCCTACCAAATGAGATTTTTTTTTTCCTTTGGCAAAGGCGCGCTCAGTTGGTGAGAAAGTATGCTAAGAGAAATCTCTTTTTTAATATCACTTCTCTTGGTTTCAAAAGCCTGTAGTAAACTCAAAGAAACAAGTCTTATTAGATATTATAATTTAATAGAATCAATATGACAAATTCATATGACAAAAATTGATAGAATCTATGACAAAAGTAACCTTCTCATACTGAAAACAAAGTTTACCATTCTTGTTTAAAGAGGGACAGGGAGTAAAAAAATTGTTTTCTTGACTCTTTAGCTGTTGTAACTAAAACATAGGTAAGGACCTCATAGAAGTAGTAATATTAATCTGATACTTTTAGTGACTGAGAAGTGTACAGCTGTCATAAATTTGTATTAGTAGCTAAAGTTACAGCATTTATGACTAAGTTGCTGCAGCTGAACTTTCCACTGAAAACAGAAACTCAGTAAAGAAAGGAAATACATAGCTTATTTTGCATAATCGAAAATTACTAAACTGTCCTATAGTTTCCAGAAGGTAAAATAAACACTGCAGCCTTGCAGCTGCCTGTTTAGTTCCCAGCATGCTGGAAGCATGAACAGATTCTGCCAGTTTAGTTGGAAAAATACTTTGACAGAACTTGCGGCTGAATTAAGACAACAGTACAGACTACAAGCAAGGAGTTCTTGTAGTTGTCTCCCCTTTCCACATTTTTCCAATGTGCACTGCTCTGCCTTCCTGAGCTATGAGATAAATCAACACTGATCTTGACAAATAAAACTCTGAACTTAATTGTGACTCATCCCTGCCTTAAAAGTCAAGGGTGTTTTCTCCTCTCCCTGCCCCCCTCCATAGGATGCAGCTGAGTGATTCTATTTAATGTCTGCTGAGATCACTGAAGCCTCTTTCACTGATTTCAGTAGAAGCTGGATTAAGCAGGTTTTCTTTGAACTTTGTTCTTAACAGAAGAAGGATTTTTCCCTTTGCCTTGGCATTAAATGGCATACCACCTATTAATTTTTCACAATCAAGATAATGAGAGTATTAGCATCAAAGAAATCAAAAAATAATAAATTTTTCCTCTTTAAACTGACTTCCTTTAAACCTAATCTGCTGTAAAGGAAGACTACATCTGAATGCTAGAATAGTGGGCAAGTTTTTGCAGGACTGGAGCCTAATCTTCAAGTTTTGTCATCTTATTCTAAGACATTGGAAATGATTTATTATGCTGAAATTAAATCTGAATTGTTTACACATTCCACTGATGTTCCATAGATTAGTGTTTATTAATTATTAAGGATATGCTCTTAAGATTGTTAATATATATGTTAATTATTTCCTGTGATATTTAATATCATTAATCTGCATACCTTATATCCATAGTCTTCATACCTACAGTTCCATTAACAAAGTGAGGAGAGAATCTGTTTGTACCTGCATACAGCTTATAAAATCAGTAGTCTCTTTCTCTTTCCTTTAACTTTTCTAATATGATTTATTTATTAATATTACTTTTCAGAAAAAACAGAGAACAAAGGATCTGTCCCAGCTGTTTCATTCATACAATCCATATGATCATAAGGTAAGAAAAAAATATACTACTTGTGTTTCTTGCTAAGAATAATTCCAAACATTTGTGATAATTATATCATGTTTAATGAAAAAATGAGAGGAAATTATAAAGTAGAAAGTGATAGGGTATTCATTTTACTTAAAATTATGCTATCATATAAGTATTTCTTTGTTTCTTCAATCCAAGCTTGCAAAGCTACATTTTCTGATTTGTGAAACCAATGACTCACATTAACCTCATAGAAGTATAATTTATAGAGTGACACTAAACCCTGCAAAGTGACCATATGTGGTGTTGGATTCCCCTCTTTTTCACTCTCTGTTTAGAAACTGTGTTACCCTTGAATTTGTTGCTTAGCCTGTTGTGTCAATTGGGCCCTGAGATACATGATGCTAATGAATTATCTATTGATTCTGGAAGCATCATTGGAAGAGGCTGCTTTGCTTAACAGCTTGATGGTTGTCCGGGGGAAGGAGAAGAAAAGTAGATCATCGTTATAACTTGATCCTTATTTGTAAAGTCTGGGAACACTTTAAAAAAAAAAAAAAAAAAACAACTTTATTATATCCCAGGCTATAAGGTAAGAGAAGACGGTCACTTCCATGAAGGCACTGAAATGTAAAATAAAAAATAAAAGCTGTTACAAGAAAATTTTGGAGAACCAGGAGCCAGAGATCACATCATTTCTTTGCTATCACTATGTCATGGGGTGTTTGCAGACAATATGCAAAAGAGAGCATTAAGCAGCAGATTGAAGGAGAGTTATGTAGGTTTGTAAATATTTTGGGGAGTTCCTCCTATCTTGGATGCATCTGTGGGCATGTTTTTTAAGCAAGTGCCCTAAACCTTTAACAGTCTGTCAGCACTGTGAGATGACTGCCCTTGCTGCTTCTGTTTTGCAAAGCGTGTGTGATTTTGCAAGTATCCATTTCAAAAAAAAAGAAAGATTTGAAACATTTTTTTGGTTCAGACATTTCAAAGGAAAGTTCCAAACTCTACCCTTCCTTTTCCTGATCACGTACCAAATAGCTATAGATTAGAAAAATTAGCTAGGTTTTGCATTTAGGGGAAGAAGGTGGCAGAAGTGTGTGTGTATGTGCACCTGTCTCTCTGTGTGAACAGATGTGTGTGTGTAACTCCATGTATGTCTGTGAGACAGAAATACATTGTGCAAATATCAGTGGATTAAATTTATTAGGTACGTTGTTGCCATGAGGGATCCACAGTTACCAGCAACTTGAAAACTTGTAGTTTTAAAAAACCATTGTCAAAGAGTAGGCATATTCTATGATTTTTAGTTAAATTGAGTTAAATCCATCACTTTGAAGTATTTTTGTACAGATAGGCTTGCATTATTTACAAGGATTGGTAAAGCAGATATTGAGGGCCTGAGAAAATTGAGAAACATGAAGAGTAAAGGAAATCAGTGTGACAAGGTTTTGAATGGGATTGTTGCTTTTTTTTTTTTGTTGATGCATTTTATGGTAAATGTAATAATAAGTCAATCAAGACCTAATAAGGAGAAGCAGCTGATGGACCAGAAGCTTTGATACTCTTTTCTGTGTCTAAATTCTTCTGTGGCAAACACTTTTTATTCATAGTATGAGGAAATACCATTATTCTTTTATTAGCACTTTTAATAGAGCTTTGCCATTTGTAACTCCTGCTGCCTTCCTGCTCATATCCTTTGTGGCATTATATCAAAGTATCCTCAAATGAATTTGGCTTCAGTTGTGAAGACTTGTGCACTCTTTACAAATTAGTCATCAGGCAATGTGGAATTGAATATAAATGCTTAGATATATTCTCTTTTGATCTTTGTTTTAGGACTTTTAATAAATTATTAAAAGTCGTACAATTGTTTGATGAGTGATTTTTTAAGCTCCACTCTTTCACTGCCTCCAAATATATTCTGCGTATGTATCTGAGAGTAAAAGGGGGGGAAAAAGGAGAAATGAAAGTTTATTTAAAAGATGATCTTTCTTTCTTTTCCATTTGACAGTAAAGGGTTTCCTTCTGCTAACTGCTTCCTATTTGTACTGGCTGCAACAAATTCACTAGAGATTTCTTGCTCTGTGCTTTTAATTTCCACCTCAGCTGCCAGTTTCACAATTGTTGCAGCCCTCTAGGGGAGGGCTTTGAAATTTTATATTAAATCTAACAGTAATCAGCATTAGATGAAAATACAGTTATTTCAAGAGGAGGTCTGTATTAGTTTTACTCTAGGACTCTTTTGTTTGATTTGTGTGACAGAAGAGTTGGTTTTGGGGTGGTCGTTTGCTATTTTGTGGATTATTTTTAGTAAGCGTAAAAAGGAGGTTTTATGATGGCTCTGTGAAAGTGTTGGTGATGCAGGATCATGGCACGAATGACTTGAATTACTGCCTTGCAGGATTCTTAGTTTTTCTGTGAAAAGCTTTCTAAAGTAGAAAGGAGATAACCTTAAAGGGTAAGTTGGAAGTAGCTGTAGTTTAAACAGATGTTTCAAAACAGAAGTGAAAAGGAGGCTCATGAACCACACTGGTTGGGACAGGACTGATAGGATGTCATTATTTTATGATGGGATATCACATAGAAAAGAGAATAATCAATCTGAAAATCTCCATTCTTCCAAGCTTGTGCTTCACTCAGTAAACCAGAAAGTGATGTTTTGATGGAGTAACTACACTAACCTTACCAAGCTTATTGCTGTTTATGCTTGATCAGTAGACCAATACTAATAGAAATAGTAGCTATTTCTGGAAATTTTACCTCTATATAGATTTGCCTTTCTAGTGAAAGTTACTACATCCTGAAAGACATTTTAAATATTTGTGGTTCTGCATTCCCAAGTGAAAATCCATCTCTTTTATGGAGGGGGAAGCCAAGAATTTCCTTTTGCATCCACTGTCAGGTGTAGAGTCTTACCTTGTATCTCATGAGGCCTTAATTCAGCAGCACAGGGGGCAGGGATTTTAAATTCTTGTCTGCAGAAGGGATAGAAAAGTGTGAGAAATTCTGCTCCTGCTGATAGCAGAGGAGGAAGGGGTTAAGCTCGTGCATTCTGTAAAGCCTACATATGTGTAATTTACCATCTAGTTGCCTTTCTCATTGTTTAGATGAAACCAAACAACAGCAAATATCAAAAATTGCCCCTTGGTTGCATACTTACGCTGTCCAGGGGGATCTGATCCCATTTGCTTTCACCTAGTGTCACCACAGAGCTTACAGAGCCTCCAATGACAGAACCTGTGGGTCTTTCAGATCCTGTGCCACTGGCAAAGCTCGTTGTAGCATCAGTCTTGAATGCCTGGCAGATATGTTGAATTCTTGATGCCAGACACATACACAAAAAGCTCAGTCCTCTCAGGTTTTTTTGTTGTTATTGTTAAAATAAATATCTTCTAAAAGCCATTCTGTTCAAAATTAAATAATTATTTAGGAAATGCAGAGTTCTATCTCGATTATGAGAACCTGTTGTATGTGGGTGTTTGATTGCCATTTGTTCTAATTTATTTCAGTTAGCATGTATAAAAATACATACAACTTTATTTGTGGATGAAGCTATTCCTTGTTCTGAAATACTCTACTTTTTGTGTGTTTATGTAGAGTAGGAGTATGTACAGTCTGGCTTTCCTGAGAGTCAGTTTTTGACTGCTGTGTAACTTTTCTCTTGCCAGCAATAGAACAGCTCTTCCAATTACCTGTGCAGTTTATCTTTTTCTAGGGACATCAGAAAAATAAGATAAAAATGTCATCCTCAGACAGGTGTACCAACAACAGTTTTACTGATTTAAAATTCAAAAGATAACTGAGGAACGTTCTTGTTACCTTTAGCTGTAATCTGTTCAGTTTCCTTCTAGCTCATTGAATGAAAGATTACATTTGCAAACAAGTAATTTCTGCTGAAGCTTTTTTTGTGTGTCTGCTGTGAGGTTCCACATTGCACACAGCAAGAATTTTATTCTGTCTGCAGTGGGTGTCTAACTCCCCTCGCATCTTTCTCCCAGATGATGTTTGCACTTTAAAACTTGTGACCCATTTTTTTGAAAGTTATTAATAGCGGTTCTGATAGCAGGTTACCTGGTCAAAGCAACAGGTTTCAGAAGCTTAATATGAGCTTCAGGGTCCAATATGCAGCAAACATCCAAATCCAGCAGCAGAGAGCCCTAGTTCCTTTTCTTCTTTTTGTCAGATGAGTTAAGTGTTCACTCTAGCCCTGGAGCAGTTGTTTAAAACTATAACCCTCAATTTATGCTCTGCAAAAGAATGTTTTTACATATAGTAAACACAATGTATAGCAGAACCACTATTGATTTTGCTGCTCTGCCTTCTTGAGAAGATAAGCCAGAAAGAGAGACCTTGGGGCATGTCCATACGTGCCTCTGGCAGCACTGTGCTCTTACAGTGAAAAGTCCTCTGAGAGCTGTGCTTAAAACTCTGCTCTGGATTTGTTTCTGCCTTTTTGCAACCTGAATCTTTTGCTCAAGAATAGGGCACGATCTATGAAAAAATAAGGTCATGTCTTTTAGCATTAGTGATTCATTTTAGCATATATTGTGTCCAGCCAAGTAAAAAAATAAAGGCAATGTTCATGTGATTTGAAAAGATTTTTTTTTAGAGATTATTTCCAAGTTGAAAGAGATTCAGATTTAAAAAATGAATTACTGCTTCAAAATGTGCTCTAATTGATGCAATACTACTAAAATAATTATAAATTCTTTATGCCTCATGCTTTAAAATATTCTTTATTGATGTGTTATGGAAATTTTAAAACACTCAGAAATGCAAAACCCCATAGACAGTGCTTGTGTGGCAAGTTATGTAGACTATTGTATTAAGACAGAATTGTGGGGGATTTTTTTTGGCTGGATCTTACACTAAGCAATTTTGGGAGGCAGGCGTGTGGGGAGATGTCCTGTATTCCATTGGCTTTGATAAAGGTAGATATGTGCATAACTGACTCAAGGAAAATCAATAACAAGGTTTTATATGGCTGTGATTAAAGTCAAGGTGCTAATGGCTGCTGC